GCTGTCTGCCACTTTCCCCATCTCTCGCCGCGGCTCAACCCCATCCCTATCAGCCCACCCCTCCCTGCACCAAGCCACTCTCTCCCGCGCCGCCTCAGGCCCGGACCTTCAGAAACCTCTTCCCTCCTCTTTCCCATCTCTCCCCTCTATCCCCTCTCTCCCCTCGTTTGTGTCACGCCATGGTATGAACAAGCAGCCTCTACCTGCCTTTCTTCCAGCAGCTCCTTCTGCTGCTGCCGCTACCCCTGCTGCCGCTACCCCTGCTGCCGCTCCCAATTCCCTGGCAGCTACACCCCCTGCCCCATTCACTGATTTGAACAAGGTAGCACCTCCCCCAGTCAGCGCCCGCCCAGGTGATTTCTCGAAGGACCAGGAGAAGTCAGAAAGAGGTGGTGGCGCGTTGAGAGGGGGGGGAGGGCGGGGGTGGCTGGATCTTGACCTGAATGCGGGGCCAGAGGCGGGGGGAGAGGAGGAGGCCGAGGGGGGAGAGAAGGAGGAGGTGGGGGGGAACGAGGAGGTGGGAGGAAAGGGGGAGGTGGGACGAATAGGGGAGGTGGGAGGGGTGGTGGAGGAAATGGGAAGGAAGAAGGAGGTGGGGGGAAGCGGGAAGGTGGTGGGAGAGAATTCGGAGCAGCAAGTGGAGAAGTGGGGAGGGCCTTTGGCGGAGGAGAGGGATGGGGAGGCAGCAACGGAAGGTGCGGTTTTGGGTGGTCGGGTGGGTAAAGGGATTGGTGGAGAACGGTTGGACAGAGCTCCTGCCACTGGCCCTGCTGCTGCTGCTATTGCTGCTGGTGCTGCTGGTGCTGCAGATGCTGCAGGTGCTGCTGCTGCTGGTTCGGCTACTGCTGCTGGTGGAGCTGCTGCTGCTGGTGCTGCTGGTCCGTCTGTTGCTGTTGCTGCTGTGTTGGCCTCTCCCTCTGCTCCTTCTGCTGGTGCTAGCGCTGTATCTAAATGTCCCCTGCTTGCAGTAGCAGGTGTATCAGCAGCAGCAGCAGCAGGTATATCAGCAGCAGCAGCAGCAGCAGGTGTGGGCACAGCAGCAGTTGCGCCAGCGCCAGGGTCAGGGAGTGCGGTGGTTGCAGCAGGGGGGGGAAGTGTGCCACTCAAGACTGATAAGGCAGGTAAGAAGCAGGGGGGGGAGCAGGGCAAGGGACAAGGCGCTGAGGGGGGCGTATTGCGCAGTGCTGCTGCTGGCAATGCTGGTGGTGGCATGGGTGGCGTGGGTGGCGTGGGTGGCGTGGGTGGTGGGGGGAGGGGTAGTGGTGCGAGGGCCACGTCATTTCAGCTGGAGCTAACGCAGGTTTACAAGCAGCCGGCAGCAGCCAGTGCTGCAGCTGATTCAGAAGCTACCGTAGCAGCTGTGCACAAGGTAACGCCTCAGGTTGCTTCTCAGGTTGCTTCTCAGGTTGCTTCTCAGGTTGCTCCTCAGGTTGCTTCTCAGGTTGCTCCTCAGATTGCTCCTCAGATTGCTCCTCAGATTGCTCCTCAGATTGCTCCTCAGATTGCTCCTCAGACTGCTCCTCAGATTGCTCCTCAGATTGGTTCGCAGCCATCTCAGGAGCAGGTGGCGATTGGGAGTGTGGGAGGGCGGAAGCGGAAGGTGCCTTCAGATGACTTCGGGGGGGGGGTGGAGGTGAAGAGGAGGGGAGAAAAGAGGGAAGAGAGGAAGGAAGAGAGGAAGGAAGAGAAGAAGGAAGAGAGGAAGGAAGAGAGGAAGGAAGAGAAGAGGGAAGGGAAGAGGGAAGAGGAGAGGGGAGAGAAGGGTACGGATAGTGAGCGAGACGGGGGTGTAAACGAGGGCGAGAGAAAGGGTGTGACAGGAGAGCAGAGGGGAAGCGAGGAGGAAGGGAAGGCAGGTAGACAGGCTGGGGAGCAAGCTGGTGCGCGGGCTGTAGCAGGGAAGACGGCAGAGGGGGCTGTAGCAGGGAAGACTGCAGAGGCGGCTGTAGCAGGGAAGACTGCAGAGCCAGCTGTAACAGGGAAGACTGCAAAGGCGGCTGTAGCAGGGGGGAATGCAGGGGGGGATGTATCAGAGAAGCCTGCAGAGGGGGCTGTAGCAGGGAAGACTGCTGAGGGGGCTGCAGCAGAGGGGAAGACTGCAGAGGGAGCTGTAGCAGGGGGGAAGACTGCAGAGCGGGCTGTAGCAGGGAAGGCTGCAGAGCGGGCTGTAGCAGGGAAGGCTGCAGAGGGGGCTGTAGCAGGGAAAACTTCAGAGGGGGCTGTAGCTGGGGAGACTGCAGAGCCGGCCATAGCAGGGGAGGCTGCAGAGGGGGCTGTAGCAAAGAAGGATGTAGCACAGCAGACTGCAGATGTGGAGGGAACGAGGGGAGGGGAGCGAGCATGGCTGGACCTAGAGGAATCGGCTAAGGTGCTGAAGACTGCAGAGGGGGCTGTAGCAGGGAGCACTGCAGGGGGGGCTGTAGCAGGGAGCACTGCAGGGGGGGCTGTAGCACAGCAGGGTAAAGCAGCGCAGCCTGCAGATGGGGAGGGAACGAAGGGAGAGGAGCGAGCATGGCTGGATCTAGAGGAACCGGCTAAGGGGCCCGAGGAGGACGTAGGGAGGGATGGAGGAGGGAAGGAGGAGACAGTAGGGAAGGAGGAGGGAATAGGGAAAGAGGGAGGAGAGAAGGAGGAGGGTGGTGGAGAGAAAGAGAGGGCAGGCGAGAAGGAAGGAGTGGGGAAGGGGGAGAGAGGAGAGAAGGAGGTGAGTGGAGGGAATGAGGCGGCAGTAGGGAAGGAGGAGGTGAGGGGGAAGGATGGAGGAGAGAAGGAGCAGAGTGGTGGAGAGAAGAACTGTTCAGGCAGGAAGGAGAAGGTAGGGAAGGACGAGAGAGGAGGGAAGGAGGTGAGTGGAGGGAAGGAGGAGAATGGAAGGGAGAAGGCGAGAGTAGAAGAGGAGGAGAAAGGGGCAAGTGCAGGAACGGAGGAGAGGGGCGAGAGAAGGGTAGGTGTGGTTATGGAGGGAGAAGGAATGGGAGGAGGAATGGGAGGAGGAATCGGAGGAGGAAACGGAGGAGGAAAGGGAGAAGGAAAGGGAGGAGGTGGAGTGACTGGAGTCGTGATGAGTGGAGAAGGGGAGAAGAAAGAAGGGCGAGAGGGTGGTGAGAAGGAGGGAGGAGAGGGTGGTGAGAGGAAGGAAGGGGGAGGGGGAGAGGGGACGAACGAAGGGGGAGAGGGAGAGGGGACGAACGAAGGGGGAGAGGGAGAGGGGACGAAAGGAGGGGCAGAGGTTAGTGAGGGCCGTGAGAAAGCAAAGGGTGACTTGTTGGTTGCTAAGGCACAGTCTGGCATTGAGGCGCCTCGAAACAAGGCACAGTCTGGCATTGAGGCGCCTCAAAACAAGGCACAGTCTGGCACAGAAAAGCAGCACGTGATTCAGGGGCAGGCAGCAGCGGTTTCAGCAGCAGAGAAGCCTGGGATGGCGGCAGAGGACAGGGGAGGGATTGAAGGGGGAGGGATGGTAGCGGGAGGGATGGTAGCAGGAGGGAGGGCAGTGGAAAAGGCAGCAGCTTTGGTGGATACGAAGAGGGCTCAATATCTGACCCAGGGGAAGCCGGAAATTTCTATGGGCGAGGAGGGGGATGAGGGAGAGGGATCACCAGTGGGGAACGCTGGGGTTTTAGCAGGGGAGCAGAAAGCTGAGGTGCCAGTTGAGGTGGTGAGTCAGGTGGTTTGTCAGGTGCCGAATCAGGTGAGAAGTCAGGTGTTGGAAGGTGCAGGTGCCAGCATGAGAGAGCAAGGGCTGGAGATGAAAGGAGGGAAGGTGGATGTAGAGGGGAGGCCAAATGAGCGACTTTCAGCAGAAAGGGGAGATATCCAGGAGGGAGTGGCAGGCAGTGGCGGTTGGGGGAATAAGATGCTTGGGGGGGGGTTAGAGTCGACTATAAAATCTGCAGAAAGGGGAGCCATCCAAGATGGAGTGGCAGGCAGTGGCGGTGGGGGGGGTGGCATGGCTGGGGTGGTGAGTGGGGAGAAGGTCGGGAGGGGAGAAGGTGGGGAAGTGGAAGGGGGTGAGGAGGCAGGGGTTGGGGCAACGGAGCACGAGGGGGGAAGAAAGGTAGGGGTGGAGACTACGGGTGAGGCTGGGGTGACCAAAGGGGAGGAAGGGGATAGAGATCACGAGGGGAAGGGGAAGGGAGTAGCAAAAGGAGAGGAGGGAGGGAGGGGAGGTGTCACGAAGGGGGACAGGGTGATGGCAGAGTCAGTTGCCCCAGCCGCAGGTTCGACTGTTGCCCCAGCTGCAGGTTCGGCTGTTGCCCCAGCTGCTGCCCCAGCTGCACGTTCGGCTGTTGCCCTGGCTGCAGGTTCGGCTGTTGCCCCGGCTGCAGGTTCGGCTGTTGCCCCGGCTGCAGGTTCGACTGTTGCCCCAGCTGCAGGTTCGGCTGTTGCCTCGGCTGCAGGTTCGGCTGTTGCCCCAGCTGCAGGTTTGGCTGTTGCCCCGGCTGCAGGTTCGGCTTTTGCCCCGGCTGCAGGTTCGGCTGCTGTCCCAGCTGTAGGTTCGGCTGTTGGCCTAGCTACAGGTTCGGCTGTTGCCCCAGCTGCAGGTTTGGCTGTTGCCCCAGGGATAGGTTTGGCTGTTGCCCCAGCTACAAGGTTAGCCGAAGGTTCGGCTGAACGAAAGGAGGGAGAGACAGGAGAGGGGCGGAAGGAGGGAGAGGAGGTTCCAAAACGAAAGGGAGTAGAGGAGGGAGAGAAGAGAGAGGAATGCAAGGAGGGAGAGAAGGGAGAGGAGCAAAAGGAGGGAGAGGAAGGAGAGAAGGGAAGGAAAGGAAGGGAGGTTAAGGGAGAGAAGGCAGGGGAAGGAGGGGAGGTGAAGGAGGGCGCGAAGGGGGGGAAAGGAGAGGAGGTGGAGGAGGGGAGGAATCAAGGGAAAGGGAAGGATGTAGAGGAGGGGGAGAAGGAAGGGTTAGGAAAGGTGGTGGAAGAGGGAGAGAAGGGAGAGAAGGGAGAGAAGGGAGAGAAAGCAGTGGAGGTAGAGGAGGGGGAGAAGGAACGGGAAGGGGAGGAGGTAGAGGAGGGGGAGAAGGCAGGGAAAGAGGAGGAGGCACGGAAGGGGGAGAAGACCGCAGAACAGCAGGGAAGCAGGGAGCAGAAAGGTTTGATGGATTTGGATGAGGAGGCAGGGCGAGGGGAGGAGGCAGGGCGAGGGGAGGAGGCACGGCGAGGGGAGGAGGCACGGCGAGGGGAGGAGGTACGGCGAGGGGAGGAGGCACGGGGCAAACTGGGGGCAGGTCGAATAGAGGACGCGGGTGGGAAAGAGGAGGCGGGTGGAAAAGAGGAGCTGGTGGTGGGTGAGGGAGGTGCTGAGGGCATGGACATCGGTGGTGCTGAGGGGTCTGGTTCAAGGCATGGCGCCGCGGCTCCTGCTCTTGCTGCTGTCACCACCGATCCTGCAGTTTCGCCTGCTGCGCCTGCTGCTGTCGCCACCGTTCCTGCAGTTTCGCCTGCTGCGCCTGCTGCTGTCGCCACCGTTCCTGCAGTTTCTCCTGCTGCTCCTTCCTCTACTGCCACTCCTGCTGTTGCTCCTGCCGCTCCTGCTCATGCTGCTGCTGCCGCTCCTGCTGCTCCTACTCCTGCTGCTTCTGCTGCTCCTTCTGCTCCTGCTGCTGCTGCTGCTGCTCCTGATGCCTCTGCTGCTGCTCCTGCTCCTGCTCCTGCTGCTGTCATGGCAATTGCTGCTGTGGAACAGGCAGCTGGTAAAGAGCCTGCAGCTGGTAAAGAGCCTGCACCTGCATTCGGCAAGGCGGTTGCAGCTGTGGAGGAGGGTGGGGTTGAGGAGGAGGGTGCGGGTGATAAGGAGGCTGCACCTGAACAGGCATCTGCATCTGAGAAAACGCTTGCGCTTGGCAAGCAGCCTGCTGCGGGGAAAGAAGGAGCAGCTGAGGAGGTGGATACACCTGAAGAAACACCTGCACCTGAAGAAACACCTGCACCGGGGAAGGAAGACACAGGTGATAAAAAGGATGCACCTGAACTGGCACCAGCACCTGAGAAGCACCCTAAGCCTGAAAAGCCGTCAGCACCTTTGAAGCAGCATCTGCTGGAGGAACAGCTGGTGCCTGCATACTCTTCTGGTCCTGAGGAAATGCTTGCACCTGAGAAAGCACCTGCACCCGAGAAAACACCTGCACCTGAGGAAACACCTGAGGATGGAGGTAAGCCTGTTGTGACAGATAAGCCTGCCAAAACGCCTGACAAGGTGCATGCGTCTGTTGCAGCACCTGGGGAAGAGCGTCCACCTGGGAAAACACCTGAGGTGGAGAACCAGACGGTACAAGTGGAGGTGGGGCAGGAGAAGGCCGAGGTGGGGAAGGAAATTGCCGAGAAGGAGCTCAAAGCTGGGATGAAGCAGCAGGTGGCACCTGAAGAAAAAGCACCTGAAGCTAAGGCACCTGAAGAAAAAGCACCTGAAGCGAAGGCACCCGAAGGGAAGGCACCTGAGGAGAAGGCACCTGAGGAGAAGGCACCTGAAGAGAAGGTACCTGAGGAGGCACCTGGGGATGGTCCTGATGAGAAAGCACCTGACTCCTGAAACAAAAGCTTTTGTCGGACCCAAAACAGCAGCAGCAGTGGCAGAAAGTGGGTGAAGTGAAGGGAGGGGAGGATCTAGGAGCTTTGTGCAAAATGATGGGGCTTGCAGGGAGCAGCACTTGAACAAGCCGAAGCCTGATATCTTTGGTAGAGCGGCCTTAGTTCTCTCAGCAGCCTACAGTTAGACCACAGGAAGCAGCTGCTGTTACAGGAGGCCTAACGGTGTTACAAAGAGTGTTACAGGATACACAACGGGTTGACCTGATATATGTGCAGGTGTTACTACAAGATGCGCGGACATTACGAGCCGTCATCATGATACCCTACTGGTATAATATTTTGGTTTTGGCAGCTTCTGGCTGCTTGCTTGCTCGTAGATCTCTGACCTAGAAGTGTAGCTTAATTAGTATTGTACTGTAACTGCACATTCATTAGTTCATAGAGCGATTTTTCATTTACATCGTCCTTACTACTACATAATTACAGTTTAGTAGCAGCTTCTGCCATAATATGCAATGAGTGGTGATTTTTTCCCAGGGATTTGTGGTGGTGCCATACAAATACACATCACGGAAACAGTGCCAAGCTCTGTTGCGCAGTAATATTGGTTGTTTATGACGTGTAGGCGTTTCAACCCCGCTCCTCCTCCCTCCATTACGGTACTCTATCACGACTCACAAGTGGTTTGAAAATTGGAAGGCATGTACAGCACTTCTTGGCTGCCAGCTGGAGTGCCCGGTGCTAGCCATTGGAACTTGGCCAAGCAGCTGTGGTGGGAAAGGAACCATCTCCTTCACTGCATTACTACAAGGGCCGTTCAATTCGAGGACGTTAGCGGGTCGACTCCACTCCAATGCGCTTGCCATTGGGAATCTGCCCAGGCCACGCAGCTGCGGTAGTAAAGGAACCGTCTCCTTCACTGCATTACTGTGAGGGACTTGGTCGCTCATAGCAGAAGGGCAGAAGAGGAGCCGTTTCCGTCACTGCATAGCAAGGGCATTCCTGGCTCTCGAATGTGCTTGCTTACCACCGAGAAGGCAAGGCACCTGACAGGTGTGGATTTGTTTATTGGACCCTGTCCTGCTCCTTAGCTCCCTCACAACAGTCGTTTCGACGGCATTCCGGGTCGTCTCGAATGTGTTAGCCATTGGGAATCGGCCCAACAACTGCGGAGTGAATCGGACCATATCATGGTTCTTAGCTCCCTCACAAGGGTCGCTTGGAGGGCATTCCGGGTCGTCTAGGGTACTTGGAAGGCGTTGGCAACACTCTTTGGTAAATGACTGCTGTGCGCTGGCCGTTGGTGCTTGAGGATGCGACTGCAGTGGGGGGGAGGGGAGAGGAGAGGAGAGGAGGGGAGAGGAGAGGAGAGGAGAGGAGAGGAGAGGAGAGGAGAGGAGAGGAGGGGAGAGGATAGGATAGGAGATGAGAGGAGAGGAGAGGAGAGGAGAGGGGAGGGGAGGAGAGGAGAGGGGAGGAAAGGAGAGGAGAGGAGAGGAGAGGAGAGGGGAGGGGAGGGGAGGGGAGGCGAGGAGAGGAGAGTAGAGGAGAGGAGAGGAGAGGAGAGGAGAGGGGAGGAGAGGAGAGGGGAGGAGAGGAGATTAGAGGAGAGGAGAGGAGAGGGGAGGAGAGGAGAGGAGAGGAGAGGAGAGGAGAGGAGAGGGGAGGAGAGGAGAGGGGAGGAGAGGAGATTAGAGGAGAGGAGAGGAGAGGGGAGGAGAGGGGAGGAGAGGGGAGGAGAGGAGAGGAGAGGAGAGGAGAGGAGAGGAGAGGAGAGGAGAGGAAGACCGGAGATAGGTAGGCATATGCTTTTGAGTCGACTCAAAAGCAGACTCATATTGGGTCACACGGATGAACTGTTGGGAGAAAAAAGGGTGAAGAAGTTTTGTTTTGAGAGGTCTCAAAACTAAACTAAACCACATTGGGTCACACGCATGAGCTGATGCGAGAAAATAAAAGAATGAAGAGGAAATCCGGAAGAAGAAACAGCGAGGGGGGAAGGGGTTACGAGGTAATAATACCTTCGTATACTCTTGCGAGTTGAGCACCGAGCAGGGAAGCAGAGTTGGTGGCAGCCTCAATCTCCTCCTGTGATGCACGGCACGCACGGGGAGAAGAAAGGTAAGTAGGACATGGCAGACAGTGCGACTGGGGGGGGGAGGAAGATTGAAAGGAGCATTCCAAGCAGCCAGCAGAGACGCACGGTACTGCTGGGCACAGCCTCAACCTCCTCCTGTGATGCACGGAACGCATGGGGAGAAGAATGGTAGGACATGGCAGAAAGATATCCGGGCAAGCATTCCGAGAAGTCATGTCTCAACCTCCGGATAAACAACCCAAGACATATATGGTACTGTTGGACGCTGGGAAGCAGAGTTGGACGAAGACGCAACCACCTCCTGGAATTGGGAATGCATGAGGCGACCACCTCCTGGAAGGTACGGAACGCATGAGGCGACCACCTCATGTACGGAATGCCTGGGGGGAATTGGGGACGGGGACTAGCTTCGTCTCTGCTGGACTAGCTTCGTCTCTGCTGGACTAGCTTCGTCTCTGCTGGACTAGCTTCGTCTCTGCTGGACTAGCTTCGTCTCTGCTGGACTAGCTTCGTCTCTGCTGGACTAGCTTCGTCTCTGCTGGACTAGCTTCGTCTCTGCTGGACTAGCTTCGTCTCTGCTGGACTAGCTTCGTCTCTGCTGGACTAGCTTCGTCTCTGCTGGACTAGCTTCGTCTCTGCTGGACTAGTTTTCCTCTTCCGTGTGTTCCGTGGATCACAGGAGGAGGTTGAGGCTGTGCCCAACAGTACTGTACGTCTCTGCTGGACTAGTTTTCCTCTTCCCCGTTGAGGCGCCTCAAAACTGGACAGGGAAGAGGAAGACTGAAAAGAGCATTCCAAGCCTTCAGCTTAGAGGTGATTTTTTAGACCTCTAGAAAAGCAGTCAAAGCCTTCAGCAGAACAGAAGATTGCATATTGTCTCCTGAAGTCCTATCTGACAGCTTTCCAGCACCTGGATTACCTGTTGCACCTGTCTTTACCTGGTGCTTTCCAGCACCTGAAAAAACACCTGACACGACACCTGGAAACTTACCTGAGGATTGGGTCCCTTCGCAGCTATAAAGGCTCCCCCCACCCGGACCAGAGGCAGACACAATTCATCTGATGATGGGGGAAGGGGGGAGGAGGAAGGTGTCAGGTGGCTGTTCAGGTGAAAAAAACAGATTGGCTAACTGGTGAGGGAAACAGAGCCAGGTGACTGCTGTAAGGAGCCGAATAGGATGGGAATAGAAACACCCCAACCCAACCACAAGGGCAAAATAGTGATGTAGTAATGGCAGGGGTCTCGAGACATTTTGAGACGTTTTCAAACAAGGCAAAATGGCAGGTTGAAGCCTTTTCCTTTATACAGTCGTGTTTTGACTCTTGAGAAGTCTCAAAGCAGGGGGAAGCTTTGTCCCCTATACGGACAATCCCACTTTCGACTTACAGCTCGTCTGCATCCATCTCATAGCAGACTTTCACTTGACTTTTTGGTTAACTTTCCAACTTACAACCCCTCTCCTCCTCTCCCTCCTCCCCCTCCCCCCCGCCCCTCTCCCCATTGACCACTGAGCACCCTCATCTCCGCTACAGTCCATGCTACAGCGCTGCTGTGACTTGAATTTTATCAGAGCCATACAACCCCTCCCCTCCCCTCCCCTCCCCTCCCCTCCCCTCCCCTCCCCTCCCCTCGCCTCCCCTTCCCTCCCCCCCCATCTCTTGTTGACTCACTAAGCACCCTCATCTCAGCTACAGCCCGCGCTACAGCCGACATGACTTGCATCATACACCTCCTCCTCCTCCCCCACCCCTCTCTCCCATTGACTCACTGAGCACCCTCATCTTCGCTACAGCCCGTGCAACAGCCCGGGCTACAGTCCAAACTACAGCTGACGTGTATTAGAGCCATACAACCCCTCCCCGGCCCCCCACTCCTTGACTCACTGAGCACCCTCATCTCCGCTACAGCCCGTGCTACAGCCACGTCGAACGCCTCACGATGGATAGGGTCCCTCCCCACCTCCTGCAGCAGCACGGTGAAGAGGGGGAGTACAGGGGGGTAGGCCGTAAAATAGGAGCCTCAAGAAAAACCACGTGCCACGAGGGCTGTGATGTGCCATGGTTGCTAGGACTAGTACCCCCACACTCACCTCTGCTCTCCCACACACAACGGCCACGTTCCGCAGCCCCAACTCCCGCACCACATGAGCTAGAAAGTCGCATCTCTTGTTCAAAGACTCCACCGACGTCACGTGCCGCAAGGGCTGGGGCAGATAAGTAGCATAACAAAGCACACTGGAAGGTGATGCGGGACACTCACCTCTGCTCTCCCCCACACCACTTGCACGTTCCGCAGCCCTAACTCCCCCACCACATGGGAAAGGAAGTCGCAGCGCTTGTTGAGCGACTCAACGAGGGTCACGTGGCACACGGGCTGTGCTTGCTATGGCTGCCAGGACTAGGGCCCCCACCTCACACTCACCTCTGCCCTCCCCCACACCACTTGCACGTTCCGCAACCCCAACTCCCCCACCACATGCAACAAGAAGTCACAGCGCTTGTTGAGAGACTCAACGAGGGTCACGTGCCACGAGGGCCGGGCCACCGCCAGCACGATCCCAGGCAGCCCCGCGCCCGTGCCCACATCCACCAATCGCAGCACGCCAGGTAGCACGGCCGGGGGTGCCTGCGCAGCGGCAGCGTTTTGAGGCGCCTCAAGAACAGGTGCCGTGGCAGTGGGTGTTGTGGCAGGTGGCACGGCAGGTGGCATGGCAGGTGGCACGGCAGGTGGCACGGCTGCGGGTGGTGCAGCAATAGCTGAGAAGACTGGGATGAGGGAGAGAGAGTCGGCCAGGTGGCGCTGCTCTGCTTCGGATCGACTCGTCACTGCTGTGAGGTTCGTGCGCTGAGGGGGCGAGGTGGGCGAGGGAGGGAGGGGAAAGAGACGGAAGGGGGTAGGGGTTGGGGGAAGGGGGGATGCCCTGCTCTGCTTCGGATCGACTAGTCACTGCTGTTACGTTCGTGCGCTGAGGGGGAGAGGTGGGGGAGGGGGGGAGGGGAAAGAGACGGAAGGGGGCAGGGCTTGGGGGAAGGGGGGATGCCCTGCTCTGCTTCGGATCGACTAGTCACTGCTGTTACGTTCGTGCGCTGAGGGGGAGAGGTGGGGGAGGGGGGGAGGGGAGGGAGGAGGAGAGGGAGGGGGGACGGGGGGATGAGGGGGAGAGAGTCGGCCAGGTGGCGCTGCCCTGCTTCGGATCGACTCGTCACTGCTGTGAGGTTCGTGCGCTGAGGGGGGGGTGGGGGAAGGGGGGGAGGGGGGCAAAGGGAGCGGGAAGAGAGAAGGGGGAAGGGGAGAAGGGAGGTGGGGAGGGGATGATGAGAGAGGGGTTGAGCGATAGAGAGTCGGCCAGGTGGCGCTGGTCTGCTTCCCTGCCACTTGAAACCGCTGTCCGGTTCATGCGCTTAGGGGGGAGGGGGGGTTTGAGAGGGCGGATGGGTGGAAGAGGAAAAGGGAAGGATATAGGGATAGGAATGTTGAACAAGGTTAAGGTTTTCTGGGATCAGGTTTCAGGGTTTAGCGATGCTGCTACTTCACTTTCCCGCGCTAAATCCCCAGTGCAGAAGCCCCACTTGATGGGGCCCTGAACCCCAGGAGCAAAACCCCAAACCCTGGAGACGTGCTGTATACCAGGGTGGGAAGGGAGGGGAGGAGAGGGGGAAGGGATCGCCTTTTGCTGGCGAATGCGCCTTGAATGGGCTGTAAAACACCTGAAGATTCACCTGATTCCACTCCAAAAGCAGGTCCAGATAGAGAGAGAGCCGCTCCTGCTGCCTGGGAGGCAGCTGGGAGAGCGCAGGCGGCGGGGGAAGAACCGCGGGTAAGGGGGAGGAGAAGAGCGGGAAGGCGGAACGCGAGGGGGAAGAGGGAACGGATTGTGGCGGAAGGGAGGTGGCATCTGTGGAGGGGGAGGTAGATCTGGAGGAGGTGACATCTGCGGCAGGTTCTAGTCTTTCAGCCTGTCGGCTTTTCTTGCCAGTGCTACTTCTTCCGCCTTTGCTGCTGCTGCTTCTGCTGCTTTTGCTGCTGCTGCTGCCGCTGCTGCTCCTGCGACCGGCACTGTTGCTGCTGTAACGGTTGCTGTTGCTGCCGCTCCCCGTTCTGTTACTGGTACCGCTAGTGCTGGCGCTTGTGCTTCTGCTGCTGCTGCAGCTGCTGGCGCTTGTGCTTCTGCTGCTGCTGCAGCTACTGGCGCTTGTCACGACGCTTCCGTAGTCCACGGCGCAACTCACGGCGAGTCTCGCGGCATGACATACGGCAGCGCATGCATGGCAGGGTGCTAACGACCTGGCGAGAGCGAATGGGAACATGACACGTGGTCGAAGGACTGGAGAGGCGTAGGATGTGTCTCTTGCTGTGACTTGCGTGCAGATTTGGAGTGGATGAGAAAATGACTGCTGCAGCAGTTAGCGAATGGTAACTTCCATTCGAGAAATGTACAGTCTGTAAATGTCGCCGTCTGCTTACTTTACCTACGCGACGCCACCCGCTATTTGTGCTGAGATGAACCCTGATGAGATTTCCAGAGGAAATAATTTTATTTTTTAACTCCTCTAGAGAGTGTTCAGGGTTTCCCAAGTAGCATGGGGTGTTCCCTCGCAACTGAATGCACTGATGCGAAGTGGTAATTGCGTCGCGAAATGAGTGGACGAACTTGCGAAACGGTATAACCGTAGTGCAATCGAAAGCGCGTCGACAAACTTCGTCGAGCTACCATTGGTTTTAACAGCCTTTTCAGAGTAACCAGATTCCGCGTAAATGCGTGCAAATCTGCAGGGCTGTGGTTTGGCTGGATTTGGTTCCCGTGTCGCAAGCGCACCTTTGCAAACGCGGCACGACAACTCGATGCGACGGGGGCAAAATCGAGGCCTCAACTACGAGGCCACCAAATCACAAACCAAACGCAATTTGCAGCGAGGGAGGTTGCATGATCTTGAGCGTCCTTGAAAACTTTGAATGCCAGACGATCACTCCACTTCTCCCACAGCACCAGCAGAAATCTCCATCTCTCAGATACCTACCTGTTGGCAGGTTCTAGGCTAGGCTAACTCGTGGGCCTAACAGCGCGTCGGTGACTTTAGTCTCTGGAGAGTTGATTAAGTAGTGGCTCGGGTTCATTCGTGACGGCGGAAGGCTGACGCGTTACGGGGTAGGCATCGGGGGGCGGATTAGAGGGACCCGCCGACGCTACGAGATGCGTTGCACCGAGAACTGAGAGGGACAGTGCTTGAGAATAAGCTGCCTCTCATTACAATATCCTTAGCAACCAAGGCACGCCCACTAAGCCATCACGACTACATCACAACAGTAATCGTCGTCTATTTTCAGCGAGGACTGTTTATCAGCCCTCAACGGAACACAGCCCACCAGGAGAGGTAAAGAGAAGAGAGCAGCAGCCCACCAAGAGGAAACACGCAGAGCAACCCACCAAAAACCACATCCCGGTCCGGAGACACAAGCAGAAGACGGTAGCCCACCAAGCGAAGACCCTTCGGAGGAGCAGAGGGAAGGAGGATCAGCCCACCAGCAGAAGGAAAAACGAGAAGCTGCCAACCAGAAAAGGAACATCATTACAATACAACAACTTGAACGAGAAGATATATCCCACTCTGGTCAGTTTCAATTACTGCGTCAGCGGTAGCGCCTTGCCGTTGAACGCAGAGAATCTGCAGTCCGCAGCAAGGACAGACGACGCCTCATAGTCGCCGGTCTTCCCGTCCAGAAACCCCGCGCCCTCCGCCGCATCCGCTGCGACAGGGTGCCCAAGCGCGTGCGCCAGCGTGTTGTAGTCCATCGCGCGCTTCTCGCGGCCCTCGCGGTACGTCTGTCCGATGATACCGTGCACCTGCTCCGTCGCCTCGACGCCGTCGAACGCCACGTTGATGTGCGCCTCCGCGTCGTCAGGTGCTTGCAACAGAGGGTGCGCCACGCGCAGCTTGATCTCCATGTCCAGGAGCCCCGCAATAGTCACACGGTACACGTCCTTAACGAATCCGCCGGACTCCACCCCGATATAAGCGAAAGTGAGGTTGCCGGGGAGAGAGAGAGTCTCCCCTTCCGCCATGCGCGGAAGAGTCTCCCCGTCCATCTCAGCCAGCTCCAGGAACCCGTCCCCGCGCTCCTGCTGCTTCCCCGCGCGCGCCACCAGGCGGAACTTGTGCTCCGCCTCCACAGCCGCCGCGCGCCACACGAACCCGAGCGCGCGGATCCACGTGCGCACGGCCTTGCCGTTGCGCAGCACGGTCGCGCCGACGGTGCGCGAGTCGTAGTACCCGCGCATCTGCATGTTGACGTGGATGTTCCGATCCGTGAGCAGGCAGAAGGTCTTCTCCGGAGCGCCGTTGAACTCGAAGCGCGTGCCCTGCGCGCCCTGGAAGTGCGGGTCGTTCTTGGTGTAGGGACAGCTGCCGCCGACGCGCGAGCAGTTGTACTTGATGCGGTAGCCGTTGTTGTTGTCCAGCTGCGTCTCGCAGCGAGGTGCGGTGCCAGGCGGGTAGAGCCAGCAGATGCCGCACTTGAGGCACTTGCCCGACGGATTTACGGTGCTGCGGGGGAAATAGAACGGGCAGAATTTTAGACTTTCAAAAGCAGAAAATATCAAAGTCGATCCTCTCCTCGCAACAGCCGTCACGGATCAGAATTTCAAACCAGGATCTCAGGCCTTCCGAAGGCCTGAGAAGAAGAATTATTGTCCACGGTGATAGAGAAAATAATCCTGAGGCGGAAAAGCTCAAAATCACGTTCTTGGGTAAATCTGCGAAGAATAAGCGAGATCTCTCACCCAATATAGTGCTGCCACATGGCGCAAGGCTCCTTGCTGTCGGAGCAGGCCTTGCAGCACTGCGACGGGGTGAGCTCCGCAATGCACCACTCGTTGTTGGGCTTCGGGAGCGCGCGACCGGGAGGGCACACACCCTTGGACTGCTCGGGCAGCTGCGATTCGTAATTGAGACAAACAGACGAAGTAAAGAGACAAGTCAGAACTTCTGATAATCGAATTAGATCGGACGGGAGAAGCGCGCAGAGAAATCAAGGTTGTGCGTGAATTTTGAATTGGTCGTCAATTCTCACCCTCCAGCGGCCTAGAATGCCGGCGGTATCGTTGCACATGCCGCCCGAGCAGTGGTACTTCAGAGCCGGGCACGCCTGGAGCGGGCACGTGGGGTACTCCTGGTCGTTGTACCAATCAATCACGGTAGTCGCGGTGCCCTCTCCGTTGCCGTTGTGGTTGTTGTTCCCCGCAGGAGACAAGATGATGTTGCCGTTGGAGTCGTACTGATAGTTGGATTGCGATGACTGCTCCGCGCCTGCAGCGTTCCCGGCGAGAACTGAAGGCAAGGTTAGTGCGACGAGGAGCACAGCGGCGAGGAGCTTTTGGGAGGCCATGGCGGGCGGGACAATCTGGAATGTGAAGATCGGCCCTCGTAAGAAATGAAAATGTTTTGAGAAAGAGTAGCAGTGACTTATGTATTGCATTCTGGTGAGTGAGAGGTCGCACCTGGGAGGAAGATGGGAGAAACGATGGAGGGAAATTTGCGAATCGCGATGTCGAGGTCGCGCTGCAGGAGACATTCGGCCTGAAAGGCAAGCACACTTCTCCATCTGTGCTGTAGTTCCATATTTTGTTTTAGGAACGAGCTGTTCTGTATCCATATAATATCAGAAATAAATCTATACCATGGTCTCATGATTCCTAGTGCTAGCACAAACGTGGTACAAAAGAGACTAAAAAATGCTATCAGATTTCAACAAGTAGACCCAGATTAAAAAAAACCTATCAGTTTCAAATATCGATGATCCGTGTCAGAAGAAAGGGACGTCGCGCCAAGAAGCACTATGGGCGGAAGAGACAAGATCTGCGAGCACTTCCGCCAATTGGTCCAATTTCGCACCGCAAGATGCCACGGTCTGCCGCATCCAGCTGGAGAAGTTGACTTTCAACCTGCGACGCCAAAGGTATCGATCGACGAAGCGTTTCGTCAGGGTGGTACTGCGTTCAGGTGGCTCCTAGAAGGACCTAGGGCGTGCCGTAGAGGGTGTTAAAGTCGACTGGACCCAGTTTCCCCGCCAGACATAATTCGGCAGAAGTGGCACAGAGCTCAGGGAGCCAGCACACTCCAACTATCACAGTCAAAACCAGGACATTATGGGTGGGAAGGCGGGGATGAATGCATCCCTCTCAGAGTGTGGTTATCCCAAAATTATCAACCTGTTTCGATAATCTATGGGTATGCGCTAGCCTTAGAAACCCGGGGAATAAAAATGTGCCAGTAAGTTGCCCACCACAAAACCTTGGCCTCTGCCACAGGCAACCGTGAATGGACGGAACTGAAGTGACATCCAATTGCCATGTTTGTCGGAACCTGGACACCTTGTTAAAACCAATCAGGGCTCTGGCTAATATAAGTAATTACCCTTTGCTCTTTTTGCAAAATTAAGAGTTGTTTACGAACTGATTCTGTTTTTCTGCAGAGAAACGTTTTTGAATTCCGTCCACCTAGAGAAATGCTTGAAATGTGATTCCTTGACATTGCGGGGGACTTTTCTTTGATTCCGTACGAAGTGCAATTGCAGTAGGAGATCTGTTCATAGTGGTGTATCACACCTTCCCACTCTCCCCTCTACTTTTCCAAACTTCCTCCACTAAGCAAAGCGCGAGGTTAGTTGCCGGGAGTTTTTGTAACTCTTCCAACTGCCTGAGGTGCAGTATCCGCGAGAAACGGTCCCTGGGGTCTCGACGGCTTTTCCTTAGCCCTGGCCAAGACCATTTGCCTTCAAGGATGTTTCAAACCACGATTAGCTAGCTCTTCGACGAATCCGTATGCTAACGGGTAATATTTTGGCGCTTCCGTCCGCTAACGAGTATTTTCAGGGACGATTTCGTGACCTAACGGAATACCCTAGGCTTAACGAGAGCCCTGCAACCAACCTGCCGCAGTTATAACAGATCACATCCGCATTTTCGAGGACACCGTTCCCCGAAAGTATTCATCCTTTTGTTTCTGACCTTACGAGGGTATAAAAACGACTTTTGTGGAAAGAAAAATCCACCACTTACGCACACAGCCAGACCGAGGTTGTGGGAGTGCCGAAATTTTCTCTCCCCTATTCCAGCATGTAATGTACATGTTCGAGTCGGCCAGACGATTTGATTGACCCTTCATTTCGGAAAACCGAGGTGCATGGCTTGGTTGTGGAAATGGGCGGCCTCAGCCCTCCCGACAGTTTCTGTGGACCGCAGAAACTGAGTGGGCTGCAGCACCACAAATTCCCTCAATAGAGGACGAACATGCTTCTTGGTGCCATCTCAGGTGGTGCGCTACTGTCGTTGAACGGGCTGTTGTGGGGCCAGGTGGGTCAACCAATCGACTCTGTCTTGGCGTTGTCTGCTCGTCAGTTGATACTGTGCTGTGTCCAGCCCAGGAGTTCCTGCAGGTATTGCTGGCAGGTGGTTCAACCTGCTGGTCTCGCCCACGCCAAGAAGTGTTGACTGCAGTCGCGTAGACCTCCGCATCATCAAAACTCGAAAATGGTGCTTGCACCGCACAAATCTATCTATGCAGTCAGTGGCTTTATAGCTCCAAATCCACGACTCGCAAATATGGAGTACAGCGGGTATGCCATTAAAGCGCGTGACCCAAGTAAGACCAAGACTCAGAGTCTTTGATTCTTGGTCCCGCTCGCCAACTTCGCGAGGTGGGGGCGAAAACGACGGGCTACAGGGAGGTTGGGCGAAGGGAGGGACTTGGGCTGGCGACACTCGGCGACTATTAAAAAAAGCGTTCAGTTTCGAGCGCGTGAAGGGGGGTGTTCAAACATAACAAAATCACAAATACTGAAGCCGCGCCGCCATGCAAAATAGCCCCACTTTGATTCTTGATCCACCCTCGTGTCATTGCTGGTTGCAGGTGCGACGCTTACACTCACACCCCCGCTGTGGTTGGGGACCCGACCAATCAAATCTCGTCGTTCAAGGTATACTTCTCGTCGCTGGGTTTCATGGTAACCTTGTGTACTCAGGTTGGGTTTCGCGAGCGGCCAAGAATCAAAGACTTTGAGTCTTGATCGTTCTTGGACCACACGCTTTAAGTATTTGACATTTTTATCCAAATACTATCATAACATCCAGAATTCGGTATGATCCAGCACGCTATACTCCGATCGAACGGAGTACAACTACTGTAGTGCGTACGGTCAACGTCGCAAAATGCCCCGTCTACCAATGAGATTTCTGATGAGCCTCCTTGCGACTTGAGAGTGGCTGGACGACAGTCGCAGATTATTTTCACGAAATCCAATACCGCCATGTATGCCACTAAGTCGCAATAAACTGGAGTCGCAATCCAGATGGCGATCCAACGGCCAATAAAATATCGCCAGTTGGAACATTAGCAAGCTGTACGCAGGCATGTGTATTGTGCAAACATTTTCATCAATTCTGTCTTACGATTACGGTCCTATTCTAATCCTCGTGGCAAGAGCATTCAGGGCGTTTTTCCATTTTTGAGAACCAATCATGTAAATATTCAAGCTTCTCGCGTGACCTGTACAGGTCCAATCTGAATACGGAAACACGACCCTCGTGACCTTAATAACCATTAACAAGCACATTTCGAAAATGATTTTCTCAAGGGGGTATTTTTCGCTTTCATAAAAACGTGTGGTTGGTTGACGAAACCGCTCAATAAAGTCGTCAAGATTTCATTCCGCTTAGCCCTTTACGTGATACCACGAAAAGGATTTTCCTGATTATTTGTTTTGCGCGTTTTGAGCCCGCACTGCTTGGGGGAAGGTCGAGAACGACTTTTGACATTTTTTTGTCCGCGTGTTTCTGACCAGACGACAAATTCGCTGAGCTTTTTAAAAGAGGCCAGATGAGCCCTTACATGACATGCGGCGAAATCGCTGCTAACTTGGCCCAAGTGGCCAATACGCCAAGCCACACATCGTAAATAGAGCGAATAAAACGGCCTACGCCACCCCACATAAAATCCCTCGTGCTATTCTATTGTCTAGTTTGCCCGTTGCGTATCCCTCGTGCACCTACTACTCTAAGATGGTATCAGCTTAGGTTAGGTCCGCCCACTCGCTTCCGCCCTAGCCCTAGCCTTGGCGCCTCGCTGATCCCTTATGCGCCCCGCCCGACCCTCGCGCACCGCTGGTCCCTTACGCGCCCCGCCAGACCGTTGCGCCCCGCCGGCCCTTCGCGCCCCGCTGGCCCTCACGCCCCGCTGGTTCCTTACGCGCCCCGCGCGGCCCTCGAACCCCGCTGGCCCTTCGCGCCCTGCGGGCCCTCTTGCATGCCCCGCCAGGCCCTTCGAGCCCCGTCAGGCCCTTCGAGCCCCGTCAGGCCCTTCGCGCCTCGCCGTCCCTTTCACGCCCCGCTGGCCCATCGCGCTCGCTCGCCCTTTCACGTCCCGCCAGCCCTTTCGCGCCCCGCCGGTCCGTCGCGCTCCGCTGGCTCCTCACGCCCCGCCAGCCTCCTCGTGCCCCTGCTGGCCCCTTGCGCCCCAGCCGGTCCTTCTACGCGCCGTTGGCCCTGTTTGCCCCGCTCGCCCTTACGCGCTCCCACTGGTCTGCGCGCCCCGCGGGCCTCAGGCGTGGCCGCCGTCCGTCCTGCCGTGGAGTTGTGCCGCCGTGTTGCTGAGTCGCTACGCCGCCGTGCCGCCGCGGAGTCAGGTCGATGAGGTTGTATGAAGGCGGACTCTGTACGCGAAGGGGCACGCGTTCGAATTCGCCGCCTGGCTTGTCGACCTAAGCCATCACCTCACAGGTCAGCGCCAGGATGGGCACTCCCTTACTGTGCATGTCGATGGCTTGCTTCCCCGCACCCCCGCGCCTGATCCCCTCCCTGCTGACCCCACCACTGCTCAGCGTGAGGCATTTTCAATTGCTGTCGCTTACTCGAGCATTCGCGTGATGTCGTAGCGCAGCTTGCCATTAGTCATGCTCTTCCCCTATCATAGCGTCCGCGCTTCCCTACTGTCGCGAACGCCAAGGAATTCTTAGATGCCGTAGTTGCGCGCTACTCCACACCCACCTCCGCCTTTGCTCGCCGCCTGATCCTCTCCATGTTACCCGATCTCGCCGTCTTCCCTACTATAGCTGACCTAGCCACTCACCTCCGTGCACTAGAGGCTAGCTACCGCGCCGCTAGCACTGAGGCCCAGCTCGCTGCCTTTCCCCCGCCGTTTTGCGCTACCCTATACCTCATTGCCATGTGCCTGTCGGACCGCTTAGCCATTGCCCGCGACCACTTCCTTAGTCAGCACCGAGGTGAACTCACCCTTACCGCCTTTGTTACAGCCCTGTCTAAGATAGAGATTCGCCAGCGCACTATCGCTCAGTGGAGCGGTACTGCGGCAATCCCTATCTTTCAGGGATGTGCACCCTCTCAGTGCACGTACGTTGACGTTTCTGCCGTTGTTGCCGCGAGAGCCCATGCCGCTGAGACCGCAGCTGTGGCCTCCACGCAGCCGCGCCAGCATCGGGGCCGTCAGGGCTCCAAAGGAGGGCTGACTGACTGAGCCACGAGGGATGGCTGACTGAGCCCCACGGGCTGACGGACTGAGCCACGCGAGCTGACTGAATGAGCCACACGGGCTGACTGAGTGAGCCACGCGGGCTGACTGACTGAGCCACGCAGGCTGATTGATTGAGCCACGCGGGCTGACGGACTGAGCCACGCGGGCTGACTGACTTAGCCACGCGGGCTGACTGACTGAGCCACGGGGGCTGACTGAGCCAAGCCGCGCGGGCTGACTGACTGAGCCACACGGGCTGAGTGATTGAGCCACGTGGGCTGAGTGACTGAGCCACGTGGGTTGCCTGACTGAGCCACACGGGCTGACTGACTAAGGCACATAACACACAGCAAGGCACACTGTCAAGTGACTCGCAACACTCACCTCTGCCCTCCCCCACACCCCTTGCATGTTCCGCAGGCCCAACTCCCCCACCACGTGAGAAAGAAAGTCGCATCTCTTGTTGAGCGACTCAACGAGAGTCATGTGCCACGCGGGCTGGGCCACCGCCAGCACGATCCCGAGCAGCTCTGCGCCCATGCCCACATCCACCAACCGCAGCGTGCCAGGTGGCACGGCCGGGGGTGCCTGCGCAGCGGCAGCGTTTTGAGCCGCCTCAAGAACATGTGCCATGGCCGTGGGTGGTGTGGCTGTGGGTGGTGCTGTGGCAGCGGGTTTTTATGACGTCATGGGTGGTGCCGTGGCAGTGGGTGGTGCAGCAAGAGCTGAGATGACTGGGATAAGGGAGAGAGAGTCGGCTATGTGGCGTTGCTCTGCTTCTGATCGACTAGTTACTGCCGTCAGGTTCATGCGCTAAGGGGGGGGGGTGGGGGAGGGAGGGAGAAGAGAGAGAAGGAAGGGGAAAGGGGGGATGAGTGAGAGCGCTGCTCCGCTTCGGATCGACTAGTCACTGCCGTCAGGTTCATGCGTAAGGGGGTGGCGAGAAGGGATAGGGGAGAGTGAAGGGGGGTTGAGGGAGGGAAGGGGGGTGGGGGGAGGGAAGGGGGGTGGGGGGAGGGAAGGGGGGTTGGGGGGAGGGAAGGGGGAATGAGGGATGAGAGATTTTTGAGAATTCTAAAAAATCTCTCACAAAGGGGAACAGGGGATGAGAGAGAGAGAGAGAGAGAGAGAGAGAGAGAGAGAGAGAGAGAGAGAGAGAGAGAGAGAGAGAGAGAGAGAGGAGAGAGAGAGAGAGAGAGAGAGAGAGAGAGAGAGAGGAGAGAGAGAGAGAGAGAGAGAGAGAGAGAGAGAGAGAGAGAGAGAGAGAGAGAGAGAGAGAGAGAGAGAGAGAGTCGGCGATATGGCGCTGCTCTGCTTCCGCTCGGCTAGGGACTGCTGTTAGGATCATGCGCTGAAGTGGGGGAAGAGTGGGGGGAGGGGAAGGGGGTGTGGGGGATGTGGCAACGGGGGTGCTTATAAAGAAAAAATGACGCCAAGACCCTCATAGGGAAGCCCCATTTGAAGGGCCCCCAAGCCCCAGGCTTAAACCCCGAACCTTGGGAACCTGCTTTCTACCAATCTACAAGCAGGTCGAGTCAGAGAGGGAGAAAGGGAGGGAGAATCGCTCTTGTTGGCGAGTGCTCATTGGGTTGGCTACAAAATCACATGGAAAATCACCTGGTTCCACTCCAGGGAAGGTCCAGATAGAGAGAGAGCCGCTCCTGCTGTTTGGGAAACAATTGGGAGAGCGCGGGCGGCCGAGGGAGGAGAAGAGCGGAAAGGCGGAGCGCCAAGGGGGAGAGGGAGGGGATTGTGGCGGAAGGGAGGTGGCTTCAGTGGAGGGGGAGGAAGATCTGGAGGAGGTGACATCTGCGGCAGGTTCAAGCCTTTCAGCCTGTCGGCTTTTCTTGCCAGTGCTACCTCTTCCGCTTTTGCTGCTGCTTCTACTGTTGTTGCTGCTTCTGCTCCTACGACCGGCGCTGCTGCTGCTGCTATAACGGTTGCTGTTGCTGCCGCTCCCAGGAAGGAGGAGCAGCCCACCAGCAGAAGGAAAAAGGAGAAGCAGCCCACGAGAAGAGGAACACCGTTACAATACAACAGCGGGAAGACATTTCCCACTCGAGTCAGTATCAATTACTGCGTCAGCGGCAGCGCCTTACCGCTGAACGCACAGAATCTGCAATCCGCCGCGAGGACGGACGACGCCTCGTAGTCGTCGGTCTTCCCGTCCAGAAACTCCGCGCCCTCCGCCGCATCCGCCGTGACAGGGTGCCCCAGAGCGTACGCCAGCGTGTTGTAGTCCATCGCGCGCTTCTCGCGCCCCTGCTAGCCCCTTGCGCCCCAGCCGGTCCTTCTACGCGCCGCTGGCCCTGTTTGCCCCGCTCGCCCTTACGCGCTCCCACCGGTCTGAGCGCCCCGCGGGCCTCGGGCGTGGCCGCCATCCGTCCTACCGTGGAGTCGTGCCGCCGTGTCGCTGAGTTGCTACGCCGCCATGCCGCCGTGGAGTCGGGTCGATGAGGTTGTATGGTGGCAGACTCAGTACTCCTCCTGGACGCGAAGGGGCACGCGATCGAATTCGCCGCCTGGCTTGTCGACCTAAGCCGTCACCTCACAGGTCAGTGCCACGATGGGCACTCCCTTGCTGTGCATGTCGATGGCTTGCTTCCCCGCCCCCCCGCACCTGATCCCCTCCCTGCTGACCCCACCACTGCTCAGCGTGAGGCATTTTCAATTGCTGTCGCTTACTCGAGCATTCGCGCGATGCCGTAGCGCAGCTTGCCATTAGTCATGCTCTTCCCCGATCACATCGTCCGCGCTTCACTACTGTCGCGAACGCCAAGGAATTCTTAGATGCCGTAGTTGCGCGCTACTCCACACCCACCATCGCCTCTAGTGGCTGCCTGATCCTCTCCATGTTACCCGATCTCGCCGTCTTCCCTACTATAGCTGACCTAGCCACTCACCTCCGTGCACTGGAGGATAGCTACCACGCCGCTAGCACTGAGGCCCAGCTCACTGCCTTTCCCCCGCCGTTTTGCGCTACCCTGTACCTCATTGCCATGCGCCTTTCGGACCGCTTAGCCACTGCCCGCGACCACTTCCTTAGTCAGCACCGTGGTCACCTCACCCTTACCGCCTTTGTTACAGCCCTGTCTGAGATAGAGACTTGCCAACGCACTATCGCTCAGTGGAGTGGTACTGCGGCAGTCCCTATCTTTCAGGGCCGTGCGCCCTCCCAGTGCATGTATGCTGACGTTTCTGCCGTTGTTGCCGCGAGAGCCCCTGCCGCTAAGACCGCAGCTGCGGCCTCCACGCAGCCGCGCCAGCATCGGGGCCCTCAGGGCCCCAAAGGAGGGCGTGGTGGCGGGGGTGGTGGGGGTGGTGGAGGTGGTGGCGGTGGCGGCGGGGACGGTGGGTCCAGCGAGGGCACCGGGGCTGGTGCCTAGGAGCAGTAGCAGCCGCCGTCGCAGCACCAGCAGCAGCAACTGTCGGGGCCGGATGCCTCCAGCGGTGGTGGCTGCGTTGGCGGCCCTCGCAGCTTGGCGTCGGCCGGCAGCTTCGGTGCTGGGGGCTGCTAGTACAACCTCCAGACCCGCCCCCTCCGCGGCACTTTGTGTCGTCGCCCGCACCCGACCGCCCGCTGCTTCCGCCGCCTTGACGGCCTCTTTCGTTGCCGCTTCGGCCCGGCGCCGGACCTCCCTAACTGGGCCAGTTTGCTGCGCCATGGTGTGCCTATCTTTGAGTTAGATATGGATCAGATTTCTTCTGCCCTGCATTCCCTGTATGCTGATGCTTCTAGTGTACTCGGACCTTATTACCCTGTATTGCCTAGTTTAGGTGTGTTACCTATGTGTAGTAACGACTCCCATGCTGCGTCAGGCGTAGGACCTTTTGACTTGTCTAGTTTAGCTCCACGCTCGCTCCTCCACCGGCCGCAGCTACCGCTTTGCTGTCCTTTATGCTTGACTCTGGTGCGTCTGCCTGCTTCTTCCACGACCACGCTACGCTGACGCCGCTTGCAGCGCTTGTCGATGTCGCACTTACTGACCCCTCCTCAGTTCCTGTCATAGCCCGCAGCTATACTACCCTTCCCTCTCCAGCGGTTCCCTCGGGTTATCTTACAGGTCTGCACATCCCTTTGTTCTACAGGAATCTAATTGGTGTCGGCTGTCTTCAGGACCTCGGCGTCACCACTACGTTCCCTGGACACGAGCCGTACACTGTCTGTACCAAGGCTGCCTCAGGTGCCCCCCTTGCTACGTTCCCCTGGGACCCCGTGTCTGGCCTGTTCACACTGGACACTGCTTCCCCCCTGGTGGGCACGTCCTCTCCGGGTCCTGCGTCTACCCAAGTCGTTGCGGCTTGCTCGTTTTGGTCGCTCACTCACCCATTGCTTCTGTGGCACCACTGCCTAGGTCACCCCGCACTCCCGCATCTGCATTTCATGTCTCAGCACAGTCTCGTCCTAGGTCTCCCTGCATCGCTACCTGCCCTCCCTCCCTCGCCTGCACCGCCGTGCACTCCCTGCGTCGAGGGCCGGCTGCGCCATGCCCTTCATTCGTCCTCGCTTCGCCCTGCCACCAAGCCTCTTCAGACCCTACACCTGGACGTCTGGGGCCCAGCCCCCATCCCTGGGCCGCGTCGAAAGCGCTACTTTCTCGTGCTCGTCGATGACTACACGCGTTACACCATGGTGTTTCCATTGGAGCAGAAGGCCAACGTGCCTGACGTTCTTATCCCGTGGATTGTAGCTGCGTGTGTCCACCACGGTCTCCCTGTGTTGTGTCTCTCCTCCGACCGTAGGGGCGAGTGCGCCTCTAATTAGCTTGGACAGTTCTGTCGTGCGGAGGGCATCACCCAGTCGTACACCCAACCGGACTCCCCGCAGCAGAATGGGGTCGATGAGCGACGCATCGGTTTTGTCATGGAGGTGGCTCGTACCTCCATGATCCATGCCGGTGCACCCTATTTTCTGTGGCCGTTCGCCATTCGCTACGCTGCTCACTAGCTTAATCTGTGGCTACACTCCCAGCGGCCCTTCTTTGGACTGGGTTCACTGGTGTCTGCTCTTCTCCTGCTCGGCCTTCCCTCCCCTGACCTCCGGCCCGCGCTTTCCCCACCGCCGCCTCCTTTGCCTGTCTACGGCCCTGTGTTTCCTCCGCCAGACTCATCCCCGCCTCCTATTCCCCCTAGTTCTCCTCATATGACACCTCCTTTGCCTCCTTACTCGACGCCTCCGTCCCACTTCTGGTCTCGCCATCCCAGTCGTGCTCGTCCTGTCTCTCTTGTCTAGCACTCTCACCCCATGTTGCTTCATTCCCACTCGTACCGTCCTCCCCTCCTCCCCTCGCCTCCTCCGTCGTCGCTCGTTGTCGCTCCGCCTCCTCTGTCTGACTACCTTCGTGCCGCTTGTCCTCTTGTTCCTCGGGTCCTTGCCTCCCTCGTTACCGACCCGTCTCTTCCTGCCTCGAGCCTTAACGCTCTTGTTGTTGTTGTCACTGAATTCATCTCTAACCGCCACCTTGACTACACCATAGCTCTAGTTTCTGGCCTTGCCTGCTCTCCGTCCGTCGGGGGTGCTCCTGCCCTTGGCTATAACATCCTAGAGGATAGGCAGTACGAGCTTGCTTTCCTGTCTGAGGCCACTCCCCATCTCTGTTCCATGCTGCTAGTTTTTTAGGCTGACCTAGACGACCTTGGCATCCCGACCCCTCGCACTTACGCTGAGGCGACCTCGGGACCCTACGCCTCACAATGGATAGCTGCCATGGAGCAAGAGATGGCATCTTGGAGATGCACTGGCACTTTCGCCGGCGCAGTTCCCCCACCTTGGGTGAACGTAATCGATGGCCAGTGGCTCTTCAAGGTGAAGTGCCCCCTGGAGAGCTGCCTGTGTTTTACTGTAGGTACGCTACGTGGCTAGAGGATTCAGTCAGCGCGAGGGTGTGGACTTCTTTCAGACCTTCGCCCCGACCCCGAAGTTGACTACTCTTTGAGCTCTGCTACACATAGTAGTACAGCATGACTACGAGCTACACTCCCTCGACTTCTCCACTGCGTTTCTTCAGGGCAGTCTACATGAGCAGGTCAACCTGCGCCATCCACAGCGCTTCACCGGTACACTCCCTCCTGGGACCTAATGGCTCCTCTGGCGCCAGGTTTACGGCTTGCGACAGGCGCCCCGCGAGTGGCATGACTCACTTCGTGCTACGCTTGCTGATCTGCAGTTCTTCTCGTCGTCTGCAGACCCCTCTCTCTTCGTTCGTACTAGCCAGACTCTGTTCTACATCCTTTTCTATGTAGATGACCTGGTCTTTGCTACTGCAAACAGAGACGCAATAGCCTCCATGAAGGCTGAGCTGCTGAGGAGACACACCTGCATTGACCTATAAGAGCTGAACCACTACCT